AACAGCTCCATATCCGTTAGCGCAGTTAGCTAGCACCAGATGCTAACAACAACAATGCACGTAAGGTCTCTCTCTCGCTCGCTCGGGCCACACATACACACACCCTCCCGGTCCTCCCAACAGCCTGCCGGTGAGCGTGGAAGTGTGGTCTGCCACAAGCGGGCGGCAGGAGCGGGGCTGTCAGCATCAGCTTTTAGATGGTATTTTAAACTCGATGCGCTCTGAAACTACGGGGCGGCCGAGGAAAAAAAATACACATGCGTTAAAATAATTAGTGGCGTTAATTTTTTTTTGCGTTAACTTGACAGCCCTAGTTTTTTTACATTCACACCAATTTTGAGAAGTACATGGCAACTCTCTGCAAATTGCCCAAGGCCTGATGATACTGAGGTATCTGGAAGCCGTTTTTAGTGTTGGCCATAAGATAGGTTTATACATGGTTAGCTGTACCACACCTCTCCTACAACAAACGTGGTTTCAATGCGTGAGACCACGTCACATCTAGTGAGCCTAGGTCAAAGGTCACGGTTACCCCACTCTAGTCAACTTCTCTCTAACATACAATTGATGTCTAATTCTGTCTGATATCAAGCAGTGCCAGATTATGGTTTTTGAGGGGCAGTTTATGGCTCCACCTGGGTGTGTTAAATCTGAGCTGAAAGGAGGAGAAGTGCTGGATACCGGCCAGCTGTTGCTTTCTGACACCACCTGCTCCTTAACACCACCTCCCAAACATAGACACATCCAATCATAAAGAGATACAAACACACACACACACACACCTCAATCTTCTCCATTTGTTTTAGCCTCACAGTTAGCAGAATCATTGATACTTCTATGGAGGCTGCTGAGTAGAGATCCACTATGTTGACATTTGAGTTGTGCTGTCTAAGATGAGGGGAGTCATATGCCAGTTGCATATTGTGAAATGGTTTACTGGGTGTCAGGCAAAGGTCAGGGTCTATTCTGGGCCTTATGCATAATGCTGGGTCTGTTCCCTTGAACATGGCACACACATAGACATATGCATGGACACGTTGAATGTCACACTGGCTTTACAGTTGATAAACAACACAGATGGTTTTTTTGTATGCGTTACATTACATAATCGCAGCTGTCTGCTTAACTCCAAGCGTATACAATGTTTTAAATGCAGGATTTTGTTTGTCTAGTAAAAAGGAAGTCTCGCTGTATTTCACCACAACTTGTCTCTATAGTACATCCTTGCAACTGAATTATGAAATAAATCATTTTAGAATGTTGGCATATTGGTGAAGTCCCATCAGTAGACAGTTAAATGTAAGGTAACTACTTGTGTTTTCAATATGTAGCATGGTGATTTTTTTCTTGACTACAGGTTATTCGTTTGGTTCTAAAATGTCAGAACAAGGTTAAAAACTAAAATGATTCCGTTTACTATGTACACTACGAAAGAAGATAAAGGAAAGAAAACAAACTAATCCCATTTGCGAAGCTGTAACCAGTGTATTTATAAAATGTTCGCTTTAAAATTGTTAATATTATTAATCTTTTATGAAACTGTGATTATCTTTCTTTCTTTTTTATCATTATTTTGGAGTGATCATTATAACTGCCCTTTTTGTTTTATCTGTGATAAGCTGTGGTTAAAGACCCCAACAAACAAGAGTGAAGACTGCAGCAAAATACACTTATTTTTTGGGTCACAAGATGAATAATTAGGACCACAGAAATCAACAGAATTAAGTGCTTGGATTTTTTTCCACAGCATTGTTTTGCGTCCACAATATCACATTTTGTTGACATTTCGACATTTGTATACATTTTAAGTTTTGACTGAAAGCTGAATCTTTACAAAAACAATTTTTTTTTTAGCTGCGGTCCACTCTTGCTTTTATCATTCATAGTTTTCCCGTTCCTCCCTTCATTTGGTGGTCATTACTCCATCCTGTTACTGAGGTCAAATGTGATCTTTCTCAGCTGTGTTGGAGCAGAGATCAGATTTAGCCCAGATGACATCATATGCAGAGTTAGTTAATCCCAGTAAGAGGACTCTGTGGGGCTGATGGCTCGCTCCATCCACACAACTGTACTGAGGCTACCACAGGTTAAAACACAGAAACCACCACCTAATCCGTCATGACGTAATCATATATTGGTACAAGCTTCAGTGTTTCACTCTAAGAGAGATCCTTGAAATGGCATGTAACATTTCATCTCACACCCGTCCACAGGCTGCTGTAATTACAGGATTTGATCCCACTAAGGCAGTGTTGGCTCGTAGCACTGATATCGACAAATCTCTAAGCTTTTTAGCTGTGAGCAGCAGATAGTGTAGGTCAGTATATGTGCTCATGTCCAACTTCCCTGCAATCCTCGTTGAGATTTCACAAGGAAGCCAGCCAATGAGGGCTGTAGAAATGGTGGTATTTGATTGGTTGTTGTGCTCCTACATTTGAACATGTGAGGCGGTCTGTTTGCATGCACAGACAAGTATAGGATTCAAAATGCCAGGAACTGCAATTCCGGTAGCATGTAGGCTTACTTTTCTATATGTATGCTGATGAAGTAAGTGGCAGTAAAGCATATAATCAATCAGACCAAAACTATTTACATAAAGGCAAAACCGATGAGATCATGTAGCAATCATATTTCTCCAAATACATTACAACATAATTGTAGTATGTAACAGCTGAGGTGGGTTAGCAGAAGGGAAGGGCACTTCTAGTTTGCAGGTCAGCTGCCCTCGACACAGGACAGCACACTTGGCAGAAAGCTGCTCTCTGCATGACACCATGACATCTTTGTAAAAATAATTCACACTTACATGTTTATCTTAATCTTTATAGAAATACAATGCAGTCAAATGTATCTTCAACTTGGGTTATTGTTTGTTTTGTCTTAAAATAGGCCAGATTATTCAAATATCACGGTTATTGTCAGGACCGTTAAAAAGCAACTCCTAGCGCCCAAAAACATTACCATGGGTGCAGCCCTGCTGGGTCCGAGGAACATGTCAGCACACAGATAACAGATTATTTGTTAAGGGCAATGCTCTGTGAACATTTCTCGTCATATGCAAGATGTTGCATAAGATATTTGCAGCTTGGTCATTTACACAACCGTAGCTTAGTCCATCTGCTAGAAATGCAGTTGACTATTAAGTACGTAAAGCTGCCATAAGCCTCAGTTTCCTATTGTAAGCTGTTTTTAAAGGGTCCTGTGGTTTTATGCCATCTGTTTACTCATTATTTATATATTTTATGATTTCTTTCCTCGTTGGCATAGCCTGACTTGTGAGAGACTTGCTTGCTGTTCATGTTGATGTGGGAGGTGGATGCAGCAGTTCCCCGCTCCGCCTCCCAAACTGGTCACGTGTCTTCCTCCTACAGCCTCTCCTCCTCTGTATTACCATCCTGTTTCCACTCCTAATGACTTTCCCCCAGCATGCACACTGGCTGCTTACTTCTCATGTTGGAGCAGCAGGATTAACCATAGGTGTAGCAATGCAAAGTGTTCCATGTTGACATCAATCGTCTCTATTACATCTTTGAAGTCTTTAGTCAAATTGTTATAAGTTTTGCATCTCTTCAACATACATCATTTTCTTCCTGCAGTGTTTGCCAGATGTTTGTTGCCATTTATAACATCCAACCTTATATCCGATTGTTTTATGGTATTCTCCTTTTTATCATTAATTCTTTCACTTCCATCAAAGAGTTTCAAAGTTAATTCTTACCTTAGGTAATATGTGCAAATGTTATATCATTGTCTAGCATATTGGACTGAGTATCTCCAACACAAAAGCATAGAAAAGGAAGTATTTGAATGTGTTGAACAAGACCCATACTTTGTGTTTGCACTCCTACGCGGTAGCAGGGCAGCAGAAGAGAAAATGCTCCTGATTTAATAAAGGCTTAATGGAGTGACTGTGGGAGCTTAACAGCTTTTATTTCATACCATTCAAAATAGAAGTGCCTCGGAATTAGATGCTCTAGTCTAGGGAAACACTTTTTAAGATTAAATCTTACATTAAGCACCTCTTGAGAAGTTGCTTGGCTCAATGTTTTGGGCTACAGTCATCTCCATCCTTTAGCCTTCATTACTAACTGTATTTACTTGGTATATTTTAATTCAAACCGTCGAAACATTCACATTTGACTGACTTAGAGGTAAATGTTATGTATGGATGCTTCATGCACTTTGGCATATCAGACTTTATTCCACTCATTTGACCAACAGGATAATGTAGGCTATGTCTTTGGACCCATGTACAGCCAGCTGGTTGACAGTGTGTGAAAAGGGGAACCCCATACTGCTATTGTCGCCATAGGGTTTAACACAGTCTGTGTCACAGCTATTGAAGATTAAAGAAAGGATTTAAGTTGGGTGTTTGTTTTATCCTCTCCACGTTTGTCCATAATGCCCTTGTCATCATAGGAGTGGCCGATAATCAGATTACATTTTAGGTTGTAAAGCTGGAGCTAGCGATATAATAAACAATATGTCCAAGTGGGTTCATTATCGCCATGTCATCACAAAAGCCTGCTGTTCACCAGCTGGAACTGCTCTTTATCCTCTCACATCCCATAAGTCGGACCTCAGACCTAATTTCAGTTCTATTACGCATTGAAATTAACATTGTACTGTAGGTATTTAAGTTTATTGCAGGCCGGGTTAATCATGGTGATTTGTATGCAAAGGCTGTCACTCACGGACTACTTTCTTCCCTTGCGGTGAAGCTCTCAACTTGTGTAATGAATCTTTAATTCCTCAGCATTGTGTGAACTGAAAGCTGTTCAAATATGTTTTAAAATTACTTTATTTCAAATTAGCTTTATCCTTATTTTTATATATATATACACGGCACTATTTCTTTCTATTGAAAATGATTCCCCCCTACAATTTGAATTGAGCCCAACGGCCAACATGTCATTGTAGCAGTATACTGTGTTGGACATTAACTCATTTGTAAGTGATGTTAATTTCACACTAACTTTGCTTTCTCTTCTCTCACTCAGGAACCTATAAAGTCCAGGGCGCCACAGCTCCACTTGGAGTATAGATTTTACAAACAGTTGGGAAATTCAGGTAAGAGATATGTTTATTATTATTCTCTGATAGACAGCATCATAACAATGAGTTAAATGTAAATGGGCCTTTCACACACCATTTGGCTGGACAGAGAGAAAGAACTCCATCATCTCCTATTCTGCCTTTTATTTTTAAGAAAAAGTCATAGTTGAATACTTACTTTAGGTTTTTATATTGCATGTACAAATAAGATAGATCTTCTTCTGTTGTCATTCAATTAGCATAGATCATGTTGTAAAAGCTCGGTTCCCTCGGCTCTACAACGTGAGACCACTGTTTTCAGATTTAAATCATCTATTCAGGAAAATAACTTTGCCAGCTTGGTGTGGATGTAAGGCAAAATGCATTTTAAAAACCTCTGGGAAACAGAGACACAAACTCCAACAGCTTCCATCTTACTTTAGGCCAAATTTCACAGTGTGTGTCTCTACATCTGTGGAAGCCAATGGCTGCAAGGAGAGCCTGCTTTCTGGCTTCTAATCCCACCTCTATAGACCCGAGTGTTTCTCTCCCACAGCCCTGCCGAACATGTTAATGTGCTATGATGCATAGCTGCAGTGGCTCCAGGGCAGCAGCTCTTTGATCTGGTCTGGCTGGTCAGTTAGTTACAGAGAGTGAGAGAAGAGGCAGAGTCAGATGTTTGGGAGGAACTGGGACTTCATTTATTTTCTCATCACGTCCTGGCTGGCTGTTTTTGGGAAGTGCACACCTGTCATGTTTGTGTAAGTTTGTGTCTATGCATGTGTTGATTGGGCTGGGCTCTTAAAAGCAGACACAAATTGCAAGCATGTCCCTACTACTTAGTCATACCGACAAGATCAAAATGTCTGTGCAGTCTCTTACTCTGCAACAGAGTAATGCGCCATTAGTTCTTTTTTTGTCCTTTGTAATTAACAAAATGCATGTCCCAATTGACATTTTATTACATGTTTTAGCTTAAATTATAGTAGGCTAACTTAGTCTATTAAAGGGATAACTTCTCCTTCAAATTTTGCTTTAACCTTCCCATCCATTTTATCTAATTATGCAACTGGGAAGTCAGGAGCAATGTTAATAAAAGGCACACATGGTCCGGCATCTTGGGGAAGACTGACTGATAACTTTCAGTGTAGCATGGACAGCAATGTAGAGTTTATAGCCAGACCTAAGGAGCCATAGGAAGCTACTGTCAGATTCTCAGTTTTTCCGCTGGACAGCACTGGAAGCATTATAGAAGACCCTTTTGGAGAGTTTCTGTTTGGGTATATGTGTTGTAGCTGGGCTAGTGGCTCTACTACAGGGGTGGGGAACCTTTTTCCTCTCAAGGGCCATTTCAATTTTTTCAACATCCTCCGAGGGCCGTACAAATTATTGAACTCAACGTCTGCTTAAAAATACTAAAATCACCGCCCATTCATTTGGCCTTTCTTTCATGCTGTGCAAAGAAAAAGCAACCTCTTAATCCAGATATCTTACCATGACTCGCACGTGCACGGTTGTGGCATGGCCACCAAAACAGAAAGATATGGACACTTGATGTGTGCAAATGCATTTAGTATCCTATCCATGTGAACATGATTTAAATGTTGAAGTTCAAAGCATCAATCTGGTGCACTTTGAAAGCAACATTAGGAGATCTGTGGATACATATCTCAACATCCATATGAAACAGAACTGTTTTCTTTCTTTATGGATATTTTACAAATCACTCTCCTTTCAAACTCTATTCTTGTTTATTAATAACAACTTTTTTTTTTTACTGTCATATAGTATTTTATATAGTATTTCTCTTGTTTTTTTATAACTATAATGATCATATAAAGATGTGCCTTTACCTCACTGGTTGTAGAAAAAGCTTCTTATATTCGTTAGCATAGCTAGCTAACCAGATGCTAATAACAACAAAGTTATTGACTGTATGATCAGTATGACAGATGAACAGATCGCCACTGGGCTTTCAACTAAAGACACAGACACGCAAAAACTGCGGCATGTGTACGTCTCCTTATGGATACTGCCATTTTTGGAAGTGCTGGAGCGGCGTTCTGGTGCTCTCCGTCAGAACCATGGTCAGAACTGCACCCCTGTCAGACGAGACATATACCACGTGATGACACGTTAGGCTCGTGTTGTGTTCATGGACCTTGACCTTGGCCAGGAAAAACGGGCACTCCCTTGTTTCATTTTTTTGCGGTCTAGATTTCTTAAATTTTTCTTTTTTTGCGTGTGTTTATAAATTACCTCAAGGGACGTACCAGATGGTCTCGCGGGCCGTATACGGCCCGGGGGCCGGAGGTTCCCCACCCCTGCTCTACTACAAGCGTATCAGTGCATAGCTGTGGCCATGATGTGTATTCAGGCATTAAATACTTTTTTACTTTGAGTAAAACATACGCTTTGTTAGATCATCAGTTTGACTGGTCATGTACTTGATGATCATTGTATAAAAATTAGATTTGAAAAATCAAATATCATATATCCTTGTAAGACTCTTGTTGCAGTGATCCTCCCCAGTATGACAAATGTGTGTCGCGGTCTAATTTTGTGACACATGCCAGCTTCCTGGCTCCTTATGCCAGAGCAAAAGCCCTCCTCTGTTGATAAGGAGGTGGGGCATTGGGGCAGTCCTTGACTATTTTTAGATGGCCCTCTAAAAGCAGTCAGGCCATTATGGTGTGTCTACTTGGATAGCTTCCCACAGTATCCTCTGGCTCCCTGATTGACTGTGTGCTGCCTGCAGATTGCAGGGGAATTATCTAACATGCATTGCTTACAGGGTGTGGTTCCTTTTTTATGGCTGTCATTTTGATCTCTGAGCAAATGTTACCCAATGCATGCCTCCACATAAACTCAAAAGTATACGATATGATATACTTTATTGTCCCCGTAAGGACATTGTTCTGGACTCTGTCCTGCAGTTCCGCATACATGTACATATACAAACATAGTGGACATTAAGAGACATACATATCATCAGTCATACACCGTTTGAACAAACACAATACACAGACGCACATACTGACAACGGCGACCTATTGCACAACCCTCATGGCCAACATTTAAAAAGTACATTTCATTACATTTGACTACATTTCATTTCATGTGAATGTTAAGAAGCTTAATCAACATAGGTAGGAATGAGTGCTTATAGCGGTTCAGCCTGCTCTTGGGAACCTTGAACCTTCTACCAGAAGGTAGGAGCTGGAATTCTGGGTGGAGTATGTGGGTGGGATCAGACACCATTTTTTTTGCTTGTCTGATAATGGACTGCTCGTATATGTTTTGGAGAGATGGGTGTTTTTTAACCCCCATCATTTTCATAGCAGTCTGTACTAGGGATGGGAATTTAAAAGCAAATGTATATTTGAATATTCGACCCCCCAAAAAACGGTTAACCGGTTAACCGAAATGTACATATCCTATAATTTTTTTTATTTTTTTCAATAATTTTTGGAAATAAATACATACATGTTCAAATAAGTGTAGAAACCAAGTCGAATTTGTAAAATGTATTGAACTGGTGATCACAGTTTGACAGCTATAGGCCTACAGCTTTCATGTGCGGAGGCGATTGTGTAGGACTCTTCTTAGAGTGTAAATAATTACCGGACTATGACTGGTAAAATATGTTGAATACCGGCAAAACTAAATCTGTCCTATCAAAATGTCTATCTACTTTGCCGCCACACACGGTTGCCAAGCAGCGCTTATTGTTGTTTAGGCTGGCCACTCATGTGTCGCGAGTGTTGACAGGGGGCGGGGGAGCACGCTCATGAACTGTTAGCGCCGGAACCTCGCAACGGCTGCGGAGCGCATTTGCACCACATTTGGGCCTAAGATGAGGTTGGAGTCTGCGTGATCTGCGTGTAGGGAGGGGCAGCAGCCATATCATTGGCTAGAACCAGAGCCTGGCTAGAACTAGCTAGATCTGATGGATTTGGACATAAACGCGAGTGAAGTATAACCGGACGCGAGAGAGAGAGATCAGCACCTGCAGCTCTGCCCGCTGTGAGGGACCGGTGAGCGGAGCAAAACACACCTTTAGACGTCAACTAACACATTTAGCTATGGCACTGTCGTATATATATATACATTGAAATATTCAATTTGATAATATGTAATCAACTTAGGCATCCCTCCCAAAAAAAAAAAATTATAAAAATATTCATAACTCATATTCGAAAACATGAATAATTATTCGAATACCTGAATAATTTCGAATATTCGATTAATCGTTCCCATAGCTAGTCTGTACCAGGCGAGTGATCTGTGACTTTGACTGCACTGTCAAGTTACCATACCAGGCAGGTAACTGTCATCTCCTCTACTATTTTACGTGATAATATGGAGGATTCCTGTCGTACAGTCTTGTCTCTATCTGGCTTTGGTTGTTTTCCTCTGGTGCATTAAACACATCCTCACCATCTTCTAATAAAACCACAGCTGACCTTCAGCCTTACTCGTGTGTTGACGCAAGACTTGGGTTGTGCAACATTACACATTACCACACATTCCTAGCCCTTACACACAACAAGTCACAGGCACAGGTGAATAATGGAACAAGCAGACATGACGCTGTTTCCAAATGCATGCTGAACATAATTACACTATTAGTGACTTGACTAAATGATTCTAGTTCCTGCTGCACATCTTTTTACGGATGTGAACTACAATTCAACATTAAGTACAAGATTTACAAAACACACTCTAAATTTCACTCCAATTAGCAGGCACATTTGACATGGTGAAACCCAGATATAAAGTGATGTAGATTGGGTTCGCACCCTGCGTATGTGACACATTAACACCGTAAAGGATGTAGGAAACTCACCATCGATATTATTCCCTGATCCTTTATCAGAAGAATGATCAGATTTAATTGTTTACATGTGTGATTGTACATTTAATAAAATCGATTAAACTTAACTGCTTATTTATTCTCTGCAACGATCCCTAACAGCTCATCCACTCTGTCACTTTCCCTGTTGTTCAATCGCACACTTGTTGCATTCACACAT